ATACGGAACGAATGTGTCCGGAACTGCCTAGACTCCAAGCCCAGCTTCTGTAATCTCAGCTGCAAGACCCTTGTGAACTGAAAACGTGACTGCGCCGCACCTTCAGCGTGCACGAAAAAACAGCCCTTAACCACCCGGCGTAGCACCAGCTACCCCGCACCCTGCTCCACAGGGCATACCTCGGATCCCGGCAACTTGAACAACACCACTGAGCAACCTTTGCCAAAAATGTCAGTTTTGGATCGGCCCAGCTTAATACGCACTCTGTCAGTGCTTATTGCAACGTCCTCGAGCTGCAGCCCTCCTACACCCGCTTTATTCGCGCTTACCAACTCCCCTATCCAAAAAGTCCCAAAAAAGGCCCAAACAAACGCCCCTGCGAACAATGCCACCTCGAATGGAGAGAGGCAAATTTCGGGCAGCGCCTCCACCAACCTTTGTAATATCCCGAAAAACAATGGCCTCCTCGTATCAACCGTCTTCTTCCCTCTCCTGAAACCTTTAACCGCCTGCCGGACCAGAAAATGCTTAGTGACGGCTTCTCACCCATTGAACTTAAATAGGAAAGCCAAGGCGGACATGTGTCTGTCAGCCATGGCAGGCGATGCCTGTTTTGCAAACAACCGGCAAAGTATCCACAGTAGTACATCCAGCCGCCTGTCCCCTGAGTGATTACCCCCTACCTGTTCCACTGTCTCGTCCCACACGTTCCAAACCTTTACATACGTGGACCACGTGTTTGGCGCCAACGATTTCCTTATGCACTCCCCAAGCAGGCAGTCCACATTTCGACCAGGCATGCCAGCCCTTGCTTCCTCGTGCCAGGTGCTGCTTCCTGGAAACGCTCCCACTGAAAACGAGACAGCGCATCAGCCACTACATTTTTGAACCCCGGGATGTGCCTAGCCCTGAACACTATGTTAAAGGACATACAAAGAAGTACTAACTGCCGCAATAAGCGCACCACTGGTGGCGAGGATGCAGAAAAGTTGTTGAACGTTTGCACCACTGCCATGTTGTCGGAGTAAAATATGACTTTCTTATTGGCTAGCTCCAAACCCCATAGCGCCACTGCTACCACAATGGGGAAAAATTCCAAAAATGTGAAATTTCTGATAAGCGGGCTCGCCCTCCACGACTCGGGCCACCCCTCGGCACACCATTTCCCCGCCAAGCCCCGAAGCCAATGCTGCCTGACGCGTCCGTAAACAGCCCCATAGTATCCGACGACGACGCCGGTTCCCGGAAAAACACCTTCCTGTTAAAGTTGCATAAAAACCGGTCCCACACCCCCAGGTCTTCCCTCATGTCGGCCGACATCCTAATATAATGGGACGGCAGCAGCACCCCGCTCGTCGCTTGAGCAAACCGTCTACAAAAGACCCTCCCCATGGGGATAACTCTGCATGCAAGTTAAGAGTCCCTATCAGCGACTGTAGCCCCCTCAAGGTTACCTTTCTTGCTCCCCTGACCATGTGTACTAGGTGCTGCAAACTCTGCAGTTTGTCGTTGGGCAGCCTGCATTCCCCTTGTTCCGAATCAATCTCCAACCCCAAAAAGCTAATGCACGTGGTGGGGCCCACCGTCTTATCCTCTGCCAAGGGCACCCTGAAAGAATGTGCTACCCATTGGAATACCCTCAGCACCTGCCCGCACCGCTCAGAGTCCACGGGCCGACGCATAAAAATCGTCCAAATAGTGTACCACTGCGCCCCCCGCCGACTCCCGGCGCACCACCCATTCCATAAACGTACTAAACTTTTCGAAGTAGGCGCATGAAATGGAACAGCCATAGGCAAACATAAATCCATGAAAAACCCACCCTCGAAATAACATCCCAGGAGGTGATGACAATCTGGATGTATGGGAAGCAGCCGAAAAGCTGCTTCCACGTCAACCTTCGCCATCAGCACCCCGTGCCCAGCCCTCCGAACCAACTCGACTGCCTTGTCGAATGATGTATAGGAGACAGAGCACAGGTCCGAGACGATGTCATCATTTAGCGAAGCCCCTTTCGGGTGGGATAAGTGATGAATCAAATGGAATTTGCCTGCCTCCTTCTTGGGGACCACTCCCAGAGGGGATACCCGCAAGTCTGCCAATGGCGGGGCCAGAAACGGGGCTTACCTTGTTTGAAGCATCTATTGTCACCGTGGTCTGAATCTACATGAAGCTCCCCACTTGCATTGTCCCTCATTGTACGACCAACAAAAATCCTTCTTCTGTCCCGCCGACACTGCACCCCCCGTGGCCGCGCCTGCTGCCCCTGGAAAGGGCGCGTTTTGCTGCGCCATCATAATCCGCATCCATAGTGGCAGGTCCATTTTGTCCCAGCGCATGGACGGATTCGCTGCTAGTCGTTGACGAAACTGTTCGTCATACCTCCACCATGCTAATCCCCCATATGTCCACATCCCCTAAACCGTCAAGGTAGCAGAACAGCTGTGAGCAGCAGTCTGGGCTCTTTTCACCAATAATGCTAGTCAGTATACAAAAGGACCTAAGCCAATTCCAGAAGGTCTTTGGTATCTTACCATACCTCCGCCTCTTCTCTTCCTCCTCCTTTTTGGCATCTTTCTTGCCCTCTTCTTTTAGGTCCAAAAATTACTCTAGGGGAAGAAGGGAAAATATTTCCACAAATTCCCCTTTCCAGATTTTTTCCTTAGCCTCGACCTTCAAGTGACATCCCAGATGCCCCGCGAAAGACACGTGCACATTTTGTCGCGCTGCCTCTGAGATGTCACCACACACCACAGCTTGCACCCTTTCCCCCTCCAGCGTCTCCACAGGCGTAGATGTGCCTCTCAACTCCCCGCCACTAGCTCTCCTAGCTATCGTTTCCACCCGCATGGTTTCCGCCCCCCGGTCGCCCTCTGACGCCCATACCCTTCCCAACTGAAGTGAGTCCCCTGCCCATGATTCTAGAAACGATTTTAAACAGCCTATGAATGTCCCTGAATGTAGTGCAGTTGTGGACTCACTGCTGGTGCCCCCGGCCGCTTCTGGCCGCGGGGTTGCTGTCCTTCCATCCGCCTTGCCAGGCCCCAGAGCGTCCAGCAGCTGCCTACTCCTGCCCGCCTGATCCCGCCTCGGGACCGCAGGTGTGTTACTCCGTGACCTGTAAGGAGAAGACAACCTGGGCAGTCTGTTCAATTGGCTCACTGCCCGCCCTTCCTCCCTACGCTCCTCTCCATCATCCCGAGTTCCTCTCCTCCTTGCTGCCCAACTTTCCCTGCTGTCTGCTCTACGCTGCCGGTCCTGGCAACTCCTGTCAGAGGAACCTGATGCACTGAGCCGACTATTCCTCCTCCTTTCTTTGGAACCGGACCTCCTCCTCCCATCCCTGCAACTGGACCTTGACTCACTGCGCCTGTATTGTGAAGGGCTCCTGTCCCTGCTCGCCTGTCTCCCTGCCATGCTCCTGTCGCTGCTGTGCCTGGCGCTAGTACTACGCCGCTCTTCTCTTTGTTCCCTCCATGCGCCGTCCCTGCTGGTTTGCCCTCCCGCCCTTCTCTGACACTCCTGCCTCCTCCGGCCCGTGCTAGCCCCTGTAACTCCCTGCTGACCTCAATGCCTGGCTTTTCGTTAGCCGCCTTGCTTGACCCTGTGCCGACCTCTGCTGTCTGGCCACTTATTAGTTCGCTGGCTCCTGCTGCTCTCTGCGCGCTCTGGCTGTACCTGCTGCGCTCCTCTCCCTTTCTTCTGTCATTGCACCTGTACTTGGCCCCCCCTTGGGCTGCCCCCTGTGTTCTCCAGCTGTCCAGGTCTCTCCTTGCCATCTGGGGACCGCCTGTGCCGTGGAGCCTGCAGCAGTATCATCCCTTTGACCCTCAGTGGCTCCCCTGTTGGCTGACTCACCATGACATGTTGCACCTTGCCTCCCGACCACGTGGCTGCCCTCTGCCCCGGCTGCCTTCCCAGCCATGCTGGAAGCCGCCGCCATTCCCGCCTTCCTGCCTGCTGCTATCGCGTGGGGTGCCTTCCTTACTCGCGGACCCTGTTTTGCGACCATCTTCGCCTGACTGGCAGTCCTGCTCGATGGTGCCGGCCGCACTCCTGACTCCTCTGCCCTTCCACCTCCCAAACCTGCGGCCGACCTTTCACCCGCTGAAGGGCTCCTCCGACGCCGAGCTACGGGTGCCAAACCCAGGCTCAGCCGCTGGGGTGGTCTTGTCCTCTGCACCGGTCTCCCCTCCGGTGCCTCTTGACGAGTTGCAGCTGCGCCCAGCTGTTCATGGAGCCACGCCAGGCCCTGTCTCTCACCGCCACCCGGACTCCCGCAAGTATTTCCTCCAGCGATGCCATGACCTGCAGAAACGAGAAAAGAAGAAGAACTCCGCTGACCTGTCACAATTAACAGGTGAGTGAAGCTCTGATTAAAATGGCCACTCTCTGAGATGGCCACTATTTAAACTAGCCATTGACCACCCCCAAGCTGCATTACCCTAAACCCACCCCCTTTTTACCTGCCCACTCTCTGGCCCTGTCAAGGCCCACTCCCCCACTGCACTGCTCTGTGGCCTCTATACAGGAGTTTCTATAAACAAATCCCTCACTAATGAGAATTGCATGCATATAGTCCTTAAGAACCTCAGATGTAATGTACTTGCATACACCACATATAATAACCTCCTAAAAAGAAGGATCCGATTGAATTAAATCTAAATAGACATTTTGTAAGTACGTAGTTAGTAATGTAACAATGTGGCGGGACATCCAATATACAAAATTTATTTTAATTCACCTCTGCTTCATAGGACACTGTAGGCACTGTAAAAGCTTCATCTCATTAAAGTGGTTATAGTACTTTTTTGAGTCCCTTGTCTCCTATTCAATATTAAATGCTGTTTGACTGAATGTATTGTTTTTAACGTCCATTCAGTAGTTTAACTCTGAATAGATGTACAGTGCCAGAGGACTCCAGACTCTATAACTAATTCAATATGAATGGTTATAGTGCCAACAATGTCCTGTTAACTAGTGGTGCATTACATTTTTATGTCATATGTAATGGAGAGTACAATTGCACAAACCACCTATACCATCCTTCCAGAGTTCTATCCCACTGTCTCGATCAGGGAAAAGGAGAACTGCAGTGAGTAAATTGAACACAGGGTAATAGTAGCTGCATATCCTCCAAACTCTTATTATATTAGTGCATGCAATATTAATATATTTGGTGTCTATTATTTTTATTTATGAAGCATCAGCATTGCTTTTGCATTACAGAGCCATGCTAAAGTGCGGCCACTGACCTCATATGTGCCCTCTTTAGGGTTAAATAGTTTGTAGTGGTCCAGTTTTTGAAGTGGTTCATAAGAACACCCTATTGTGTCACATTAGAAATGTTTCCTCTAAACAAAGGTGAGTTGTTGGCAGATGAGCTTACACTTTGTCATTGGTGTGGTAATAAAAAGGTTTGGAATTTGGGATAGTGTGTGGTTTTGTTTTTACATAGCTCAGACAGTGGCAGTACTGAATTGGATCAACGACTAAGCTACCTCCATTAGAAGAAGAGGATAACCAGGGATACATATTGTGACAGAACCATCTGTCTGCTTGGATTTTTACTACGTTCGTCTGTTTGTCCCCCGTTCGTATGAATGGCTGGTTTCTATAGCCCAGCCATGCGAATGACTCTTTTTCCCGAACAAACCTGCCGAACGAACGGCCACCCAAGTGAGGAGTGTGCTGCTGGTTAACGAAGTGATCCCAATTAGAACGTTGTGGTTAACCGCAGACACTTCTCAATTAAACCGAATTCAGGGTGGTCGTCGTTCGTATGTCGACCACGAGGCAGCGGCCATTTTAAATCAAGCGAACGCCCAGCGGTGTTTGGCTCTATTTCTATGGAACTGAAAACGGACACTTTTTCTGCCGAACACCGCTGAAACAACGGAACGCCTGGCTGCCTCCACGAAAGCATGCGAACACCGGCCGTTCGGGAGATTGAGAGCATACGAAAAGACTTA